ATTTTACGGCCGGCCCTTCCAAGGTTCCTACGAAGAGGCGACATTGGATCTCGTCCTCCACGGCGTGCATCAACATGTGAGTTTGGTACGCAGCCAAGTGATCATTGGGATCGGTGACTCCCTTATAACGGATTTCAGGGGCTTTCATACCCCTGGGCAGTTGAGCTTTCATCACTCTGGCAGTAAAGGGAGAAATTATCTCTACTGTGGGTCCGAAAGACCCGTCCTTGTCAACCTGCCTCTTTAGTTCCTCCATTTCTTTTCTCAATTTGAGGATGTCTCCGGCATCTTCATTGCCGTGCCCCCCAAAATTTTCTCCAGATTCCTCAGTTCTGGGTCCCAACCTTTGAGACGCATTTTTGCGCATCCTCTTATGTACTGATATGCGCCCTTGACTTTCCACCTCCTCATCCTCTCCTTGACCTGTTTCTCTCCCGGTCTCTTGGGACCGGGCCTCTCCTTCCTTGTTGAGCCATCCGATTAACTTTCGGACTATGGGGGAGTTGGCGTCGAATTTTTCTGTTGTTGCATGGGAATCCTTTGGATGAGAACTCTTAGGGGCTTTAGAGTGAAACTGCGTTCACAAGATTTGTCTTGTGTTTCACGCCTGGATTGGGAGAGAGTTATTTGGTGTCTGAGATCCTCAGATGAAAGCTTCTCTTTCCCTTCCAAGTTGGTTCGCGCCTTAGCAGCAATTTTGTTCCTCTTGGACCGATTTTTGCCCATGGTAACAGTTGGAAACCTTCTCTTGATGAAAAAGGCGGACCAACGGGAGATAGCGGCCCATGAGCAAGAAATCGGTCCTCCTGTATGACCGGCTGATAAATGCGGTCCTCTGTGGAAGATCGGTCCTCCTTTCACTCTCTTTTTTTTTTGAACAGTGGACCGACTAAAAGGAGGAGTCCTTCTGGGTGGACCGCGAACTTATCTCCTTCACTTGGAATGGACCGCTAATTCTCCCCAGGTCTAGGAAGAGGTCTTTTTGAGTGAACAAGAGTGAGATAGGCTCGCTATCAACTCCCCAGAAGGTTAGTAAGCTTCAATCGGTCCCACGGATGGCGCCAGTGATGGATACCCAATATTTTCCCAAGGACTGTAGATCGGCCCAGGTCCAAATATAGGTATCCGGGCCTTATAGTATTGAAAGATAATACGAGAATAATAATTAATAGTAATGGAAGCACTGCTCACTGGATAGTAACTCAAACCGGCGGTCCTCTCCTTTATTCGGTCCTCTTAGGAACGGAATATGCTTAAGGATCGCCGGAATATCTTTTATTATTTACTCAAGTATTTTCTCTCTCTATTACAAGATGTCCTCTACTCCCCAAGTCCCTCTTTCTTTTATAGGCACTCCCCATCCATTATCCTCTTCAATAATGGCAGTGATTGGGGGAATATTCGTGCCAGCCTTACTCCTTCTGGGGGAATGTATCTCCACTTGAGGCCGTCCACTGGAGGACAAACCCTTCCGTCCATCTCTTGCTCCCTGTCCTTCGTCCGTCTCTTTCTCCTTGTCCTTGTCCCTTCAAGTGGAAGGGGGGACTCCCCAAACTCCTCATAGGATTCCTCTCTTCGTGGGTAGCTTATCCTTAATGGGCTGGCTTCAGCCCATCCTTAAGCCCCACTTCTCTTCCTTTTTCCTATCTTTCTCTACAGACAACCTTCCTTTGACCGGTCCGATACATTTTACCTGGGCCGGATGCTCCTTTCGATGGACGGGATTCGAATTGGGCCTAGGCCCAATCCGTTAGTATTCTCTCGATGGGCTTGGTTCCCATCACATGCCCCTTTTTTTACATGTCAAAAAATAAAATTTTTTTTGACTGTAGTCTTCCTCGCATGCCTCCTCGGAGAGTTTCTCCTCTCTCTTCTTTTCATTTTCTGACGAAGATTCTCCTTTTGGGGAAGACCCCAAGGTTTAACTTGTATTCACTCTAGATGATATTCCCCACAGTACGCCCATGCGGGCCAGGATGTATAATTGGTTGAGTGAACTGTTTGTGGCCACACACGGTTCTGTCCAATGGCTGCTTGGTCATGCGAACAGTCCCTGCAAACCAATAATGGTGGCTGCTTGGTTCCCATCATATATATATATATATATATATATATATATATATATATATATATATATATATATATATATATATATATATATATTTAAGGGGAAGGTTTTTATTGCACTCTAATAAAGGGGACAAGTTTGTCCAAAGAGATTGCAGTAGAGATAGCTCTAGGAAGTGAAGAAAAGCAATCAAAGTAAACACATTGAGAATTCCTTGCTCCCTGTTTAGCTAGGAGGTCCGCCGCACCATTGGCTTCTCTGAGGGTGTGGGAGAGACGTAGATTGAGAGTTTCTATCTTCTCCTTGATGAATAAGAGAGAATTCGACGTTGGGACATCACGTAACATGTGTAGAAGTTCCATGCTGTCGGTTTCAACGACCATGTTTGGGAAGGAGTAATAACGGAGGGCTTGCATCATTGCAAGGGCTTCTGTGAATAGTGGTGAAGTTCTAGGTAAGGGAAAAGCTAAAGCATGAAGAAAGTTGCCTTGGTGATCTCTTAAAACAGCTCCACCGCCGCAACCCCGAGGGTTTGCACTACCATCAACGTTGAGCTTGAAATGGAAGGGGTTGGGAGGGATCCATCGAATAAGCTTGAATGGCTTGAGAGGAGTCCGGTGGAACGTGATTGGAAGGTGCATTCCTTTGTTTGCTAAGGACCATGCGTTTAGGGTATGCTTGATTCCTTCTAGGGTTTTCTTTGGTTTAAAGTGTTCCAGGTTCCCTAACTGTTTTTGAGGAAAGCACTGTACTCCACAGCCCCCCCTTCGTCCCTTTACCTGAAGTTGTCCACACACATGTCCCCTTAATTGCAGATTCAAATGTCCCTGATGCTTCTGATGCACACAGTACACTCCGAAAGGATGTACTGGATGGCTCACATGACAATTCAGTTTGTGGGGATGATGAAATTATTTCTGACCCAAACATTCCCACTCAAAACCGTTTTGTATTGTTAACTGACCCTATGATTACTGAGATTTCTGAACAGGGCACCCCTAACTCCACCCCGCTCAAAAGCACACCTACAAAAGAGGAAGCTCACCATGAAATGTCAAGAATGACAACAAGAAGATCAAGACCACCCATAATTGAAGGCTTCATTGTCGACTGTGTGGGAGAACCAAAACTAGAATGCGAGGGATACAACGGGCCATTTCTCTTCCTAGGCCCTCCAGGATCACCGAGGGAAGATGGAAAAAGGCCACGAACAGCAATACCTACCAAAATCTCACCTCATACCATGGTGAACGTGTGGATTTAATTTTGGGCTGCATCCCTTGTTACCTTGTATCATTTGTCTTTCATTGCTCTACCACTTTTGGGTAGACTCACCCATTTCCTTTTTGGAGCGTTTGCTCCC